CGATGGCGGTGGCGAGGGTGGCGGGGGCGAGGGTGGTGGCGACGGAGGCGGGGGTGAAGGCGGTGGTGGCGACGGTGGAGGGGACGGCGGAGGAGGCGACGGGGACGGTGGCAAGGGAGGAGGCGTGGGGGGCGGCGACGGCGGTGGGGACGGTGGCGGCGACGGCGGCGGAGGCGAGGGCGGCGGCGGAGATGGTGGTGGCGACGGCGGTGGCGGCGATGGCGGTGGCGACGGCGGCGGTGGCGACGGCGGCGGTGGCGACGGCGGCGGTGGCGACGGCGGTGGCGGCGAGAGAGGCGTGCACGCCGCAAGGTCGACTCTCATGTACAGCGCACAGAGGGTGAGGAGGCGCGGTGCTGGTGTGCGGCCCAGGCTGCACCAAGAGCGGTTGCTCTGGTCCAGCTGGCGCGGGGCCTGCTGAGGCGGTGCTGGGGACGCCGGTTGGCGTTGCTGCTGCGAAGGGTGGGACGTCGAAACTGCTTGCCGCTTCGACAGACTCTCCATGTCCCGCTGCTGCGGGTGCGGGTGCGGCGGCGGCGTTCGCAGCGGTGAAACCGCCGCCGCCGACTGCGATGGCGAGTGCGACAGCTGCGGCTGTAAGGCCCGAGGCCGCCAAAGCCGCCCAAAGCTGAGCAAAGGTGCTCGTGCCGACGGGCTGCGCCGCAGCTGCGGTCGTCGTCGCCGCCAGCGTCGCCAGTAGAGCCGGGGCCTGCACCGCAGTCGCCGCCGCCATGCCAGCACCCTCCTTCGCCGGCGCAGCCAACGCTTCCAGCGCAAGAGGCACAGCAGCCACCGCCGTCGCCACGACCGCTGGTGCAGCCGCCTTCGCCGTTGCCACTGATGCTGCTCCCGTCGAGGATCCTGTCGCTGCTGCTGAAGGTGCCACCGCTGCTGCTGCGGCGCTGGGCTGCTTGGTCGCAGCCACCGCAAGGCGAGCGCCAAGGCCAAGGAGAGGAGAGACGTGTCTGCTGCCATGCGGCAGCCCAGAGAAGGCTGCGCCGGCGAAATGGCCTCGTGCAGGTCCACGTGCGCGTCGGTCTAACCAGAGGCTACCAGACCGGGGGAAAGCGGGCGCTTGTGGCTAGCTGGCGCAAGCCGCCGCTTGCAAGGCCTGCGCGAAGAGAGAGAGAAAAAAATCATCGGCGAAGAGAAATCTAAGAAAGAAGAATTCTGGCTAGCGCATCACACTCCTCTCCTTAAAATCCCTGTGTGGTGGCGGCGTGCCGTCCTCCCATCCCTCCCTTGGGTTGTCTGTTTTCTTTCTTTCTTTCTTTAGAAGAATTCTACGAAGTCAAGAAAGAAGAAAAGGGAGCGACCCACCGGATAAAGATGCAAATGAGAAGTTGGCATGAAAGAATTTAAACAAAACACATCTCTGTCCGGGCATGAAAGAATTTTGTTATTAAAGAAGAAAGGGGCGGGGGTAAGGAACTCGCGCCGCTTCAGCCCGGGCGCCCCAAAACAGTGGTCTCACGGTGTACCCTCCTACTGCCAGCCAGGCGGCGCGGTGAACACAACCGCCTCGCCCTCGAGCGTACCGCTCAAACACCGAGCCGAGGGGGGAGGGGGCGGCGGCGGCGAAGAGGCGGGAGCTGGGTCCAGTGCGCTCTGCTGCTGACAGCGAAAGCCGCTAGCGCGTACAGCAGCAGGCATATCGCCTCGGGGAGGAAAGTCCTCAGCAGCCGCCTGGCACGACCACGCTGCCGCTGCCGCTGCCGTGGCAAGCCTGGCGAGGGCGGCTTTGCCTTTGGATCATATTCCTCGGAGCTGGTGGCGGTGAGAGGAACGGTGGAATCGGAATCACGTCCAATGTCTGAATGCGCGCGCTCCAGTGCCGACACCCTGCGCGCGTTCGAGCTAGAGCGATGGCGGGGCTGGGGCATGAGACGGTCGTTGCGCGGCTAGAGCGATGGCGGGCTGGGACTGGCGCGCACTGGCACTAACACAGGTATGCCCCCCCCCCAAAGGAACACACCAGTGAGGGAGGGCGAGACGATCGAGGGGTCCCGTACCATGCGGAATCGACCCTATCCAGTGCTCAAGTGCTCAAGGTACACTACGGGAGCCGAGCTTGTGGTGAACAGACACGTGTCTGGAAACTGTCTCTGTGCGATTTATCGCGCGGCTGTGCATTTAGAGAGAGAGAGAGAGATTTTTAGCAATACCAAACAACTCTAACACTCACACGTAATTTGGGGTGCATTTATGTGAAGGTCGTCTCCCCCCATCCCCAGGGCTCATAGACCAACGCGCTGCGCCACAGGAGGTATTTTCTTCTCAACAACAAGGGTTGTCTGCGCGGGTTGTCTCAATAGGGTTGTCTGCGTGTGAGTGTGAGTGAGTGAGTGACACACGCACACGGTTGTCTTCGCGGGTTGGATGGGTTAGAAAATTCTTTCGATGCAAAACAGCGTCCGACTGGAACGCCACAGGCGTGGGAATCCCTACCTGCCATGTTCCACCCTGGTGCTGGCGCCTCCCGCCCCGGGGTGACCGGCGGCTTGCCCTTCTGGCTGGTGCCGCCTCCTCCGTCACCCCCGGTGCTGCCTCCTCCGTCACCCCTGGTGCTGCCTCCTTTTCCGCCCCTCGGTGTCGGTCGTGGAAAACCTGGCTACCGCATCCTTCTTCCGCGGCCACCACCGCCTCCCCCGTCACCGACGCTAGTACCGCCGCCGCCTCCTTCGCCCCCGCCCCTCTTCATCCCCATGCCGATGCCGAAACCCGCACCGCGGATGCCGCCGGGAGCACCGCCGGTCGCCACCCTCGCAGCCATCCGCGCCGCCGCCGCCGCCGTTGCCGCAGCTCAGGCGAGGTTGCATCCGTCGCCGCCGGCCGCGCCGCCGCCGCCGCCCCGGTTCCCTTCTTGGCCGCCCTGGACGAGATCGCCGCAGCCCTCAATCTGCAAGCCGACAGCGTACCGCGCCTGCTACGGGCCGTCACCTCCCCCTCCCCCTCCGCCCCCGCCAATCGACACGTGGCCCTTGCCGCCGTCACCGGCAGAACCACCCGGATCGCCGCCACCGCCGTCTCCGCCGCCGTCTCCGCCGCCGTCTCCCCCTCCACCGCCCCCCTCGCCACCGCCTCCGCCGCCCTCGCCGCCGCCGCCGCCGCCGATGCCGCCGCCTCCGCCTCCTTCTCCGCCGCCGCCTCCGCCTCCGACTCCTTCTCCGGGGCCGCCTCCACATCCGCCCTCTCCCTCACTGATCACCACACCGCCGGGGCCGACACCTTACGCCGTTGCCCTC